GTTAACTTTCTCATATTTTTTGTTTCAAAAATTTAAATTTTCAAATTTGGTTTTTTTTTGTTTCAAATACAGAAAACTTTATTTTACCTGGATTTTTTAAATGTAGAAATGAGAGTGTATTCTTATCAAATAAGCAACTTTGTAATAACAAGTATGATTGTCAAGAAGGAAGTGACGAACTATTTTGTGAACAGCCAATAAATAACCACCTAAATATTTGCAAACGTCTTGATCCATTTTCTATTAACTGCTTAACGGAGAAGAAATCAGAAACAATAAATTTGGATAGAAATTTCAAGCATGTGACACTTGAAGGAAATATTTCTTTGAATAACAAAAATACCAAATTTTTGAATACTTTTGTATTAAAAATTACAAATAATTTCTTACTTCACTTGTGGAAAAATATGTCATTTTCAAATGTTATTCACTTACTTATTTACAATACAAATATAACTGAAGTATTTTTTTTTGAAAATTCAAAATATAGATTAATTCAAAATTTAAATTTATCAAATAATCCTATTGATAATCTTGATAAAATTTTGCATAAGGAGATGGAATATCTTTTGCTTTTAGATTTATCTAAAACAAATATTCAATTTGTGGCAGAATATCATTTTAAATATTTAAAACAATTGAAAATATTAATAATGGAAAATTGTTTCCTAAAGACAATAGAATCCTTCTCATTTAATAATTTAAACAAAATTGAGATACTATTGTTAAAGAAAACTAAATTTCCTACACAATCTGCTAAATACTTTTTAATTAATGCAAAAAATGTAAAACTTATTGAAAGTGACATTTTCCAAATGTGTTGCCTAGCTTGGAAAATATTGGGAGAATATGTAAAATGTCAGCCACATCCAACAGGCTTTCTGACTTGTGAAAATATTATACCATCCACCTTTTTAAAAATCATATTTTGGATAATTGGAATTGTTGGTGTTTTTGGAAATTTACTGGCATTATTTATTGTTATATTTTCAAATATTAAATCTAAACCCTTTAGAATATGCTTAGTTTTGGGGGATTTATTAACTGCAATATATATTTTATCAATTGCAGCTATAGATATTTATTTTTCTGGCACGAGTTATCTAGAAAATGAAGAAAAATGGAGATTCAGTAAAAGTTGTACAATTCTTGGAACAATTTTATCATTTTCATTATTAGTATCAATATTTTCAATTCTGTGTTTGGCAATTGAACATTACGAAGTAATAACCAATCCATTGAGTACACCATTTATTGTAAAATTTAGGAAATTAGTAATAATTCTTGGGCTCATAATCTTTTGTTTTGTATCACTTACACCAGCCATATTCTTTAATGTAAATATAAAAGCACTTGTTCAAAATTCCAAAAAAAAAAAAAAAAAACTGTTCAGTTATTTTATTTTTACAGCAATTTTACTCAAAATCAACAATATGTTTCAATTTAGAAATTAGAAGTGATGGAACTGAAGGTTGGATGTTTTCCTTCATTATATTTGGAATACTATTTTTTGCAATAAGCTCTATCATATGTCTCTTATATGGAAAGTTGGCATTAAAAATTAGGCAACTAACATTATCAAAGAAACAATCATTATCCAAAAATATTTTCATATTAACATTTTCAAATATTTTATGTTGGCTCCCAATTTCAGTTTTATGTTTGTAGCATCCATTTTTTTCATCTAAAACTAATTTTTTATATATTTTATTTTTAAAGCAATTTTATCAAAGTTGATTGACATTAGTTTAAAAAATGATACATATATCATTTTCTTAATTTCACTAATACCAATAAATTCACTGCTTAATCCATATATTTTTTGTGGTAAACAATTTTATATTTTGAGAAGAAACCAAAGGTTCAATAAGAAGGAGAAAGATGACGAAATGGTTAAATCATTGACAAACAAATTAACAATTCAATGTTATTAATAATTTGTTTAAATTTTGACTTGTTATTTTCATATTCTAAAATCTATTTTACTTTTAATAGACATAAACTTTTTTAATAAGAAAATGGAAGTGGTAACCAGTCTTTTGAACTCTCCATCAGATTTAGAGAAATTTCATTATAGCAAAAAACTTTATAGAAATTGTGAATATTTGAAATGTTTTTTGTATGTAATTCATTCTATTGAAATAATTCACAACAATTCTTTATCAATGAATATTGAAAATTTAGAAAATAATTTATATTTAAAAGTTAATTAAACAAATTATTTTTGCAATTCGAAATTTAAATTCTGTGTATTTTTAGGGCAAATCTGATGAAAGCTATATGTATTACATTCATTGTAAAGAATTAACCCTATTGACAGAGTCAACTTCTCATGAAGATATTTTAAAATTTGGAATTTTTGTAAGAAAAACTCTTCAAAAAAGAATTCATGTTTAGAAATTTTAAGAAATCTCTGGCTGGTTTTTAATGATTCCACAATACAGTTAAGAATACAATCTTTCAGTACTCTAAGAATTTTTATATACTACTGTTAATTATAAAGTGTATAGATAAGTTGTTTCTATTTTAGCACAGATTTTAAGAGTATCTCTCAACGTTTTACATTGTTCTTCATTCAAATCATATTCAAACAATATCATTTCTTTTTAAAGTCTTTGATAACTGTTTCAGTCCTTCGCAGATGTCAAAAAATCCACTTTCAATTCTATTATTAGTAAATAGAGTTAATGTTTCTATTTTAGAACAATTCTAAAGCAAATTTCCCAACATTTTACTCAGTTCTTCATTCAAATCACAGTCAGACAAATGCAGATTAAAGTCCTTCATAGATTTGATAAAAACCATCCCCCATTCTTTTATTGCCATCCAAATTTCAAAAAAAAATCAAGTCCCTTTTCTTTTATTTTATTTTTGAATTTTTAAATGAATGGTTTGGTTATAGATATACATCCACCTTCAATCTTCTGATGAAATAGTGTAGAAATGAAGTTTAATATGGATTTAAAAAGAAAAACAAACACTAAATATGATACTTGAGAATAGGAAAGATTGATAAATGATGTTCATGCTGTAGATTAGATATGGGATATCTGCATTAATAAATCAATGGATGTCAAAATAGATTTTTTTTCTTTTGATGTTTGTAAGTCCTTTTCTTTAACAATAATTTTTCTTAAACTTCAAAGTTAAAGATTGTTTCAACCATTTTTATTTTTAAAATGGCTGCCATTTCACAATTATCAAACTAGCATCCAACATTAAGGAGTCGAAGACTTGTTCCAGTGAAGATTGTTTTCAGGTGATCATCTTAAATGGTTAGATCGAACTGCCACTCCACAAGGATAGAATAGTGAGTGTTTTAAAATACTTTGAGGTTTATCTGTGATATACAATCATCACTTTACTGTTGCCAAACTGTCTAGTTCATATTTAGAATAACCCAAAAAACTTCTTAACAGGGTTTGTTGATATTTGTATAAAAGTTACATATGCATCACCTGAAGATGTTTGTCTTAGCAGAGAAGTAAAAACTTTAATGGAAGTCAAATGAGAAATTTCTAAAAATACAATAAAAAATGCAATTAATTTAAGAAGCAAAATTGAAAAAAGAAAATGAATGTTTTTAAAAAAAACCTTGTTTCTTTTGGCGTTGCTCAATAAACATGGATTGTAAAACAGTTATTGTTTTTGAAAAATGCCATGATTTTCTCTTCATTTCAATTGTTGCTTTGAATAATTACCTTTCAATTGCAAGATGAAAACAATTTGCCAAATGGTCATTAGCTCAATTATATACGATATAGTTACCCAAATATTGGTTTTTCAGTTCTTTTTTTATACAACATTAAGAATTCAACATTATCAATAAACTTATTCAATAAATCTTTGATATCTTTATATTCAAAGCTTAATGCATGAATAAAAGATGGATTATGGATTCGAATCTAATTACAATATTGTTCACTATGCAAAGTTAAAAACAAAAACTATTAGCTTTTATAGACCAATATTTAAAAATAATTCCAACTCTATTCATGGAGGATTATCTTAATATTTGACTTTGTAACATCTTATTACTATAGATAAACCTGAACTAGACATTTCACCAACTGCAATATGATGATTTGACACTAGAACTCCTCTTCATTTATTTGCTAATACCTGTGGAAGAAATGTGAGGTTCTATTTGTATTTGCATGTTACTAATTCAGTGGCATGAGCAAGAATGACATTTCTGTAATGACAATACGACAAAGTAAAAATGAATATAGAATGTTTTCTAACGATTAATGGATATTTTCTGTCAATCCATCACTAAATTTGTATTCTTACATAAATAAAAACAATACATGATATATTTAGCTAATGATTAAATGTGACTAAAATGTTTGTTGAGCATATTCTCTTCTTACATAATCCTTTTTTATGTAGGTAGTAAGAGGCATTCAGTCCTGAATCAACTTCCTTAGTGAACAGATCTAGTATTTCTTTAGAATACAGTTATATTATTCTTACGTTTTGGTTCTATATTGATCCTCCCTCAATCCTACATCTCTCTTCTAAGTGGCTTACTCCTGATTCGGTTCTATTTGGACCAGTACTTACCTATAACCCCAGCAGGAAAGTACAATGACATTTAATAGTTTTGATTATCATACAATTTTACTGCCATGAACAGACAACTCTTTACAATAATTTCTATAGAGATATTGTATAAATATGGGAGAAATCTAGATAAAATTTTAAATTTAAATGCATCAGGGAGGTTAGAACAATAAAGTTGGAGGTCTGGTCAATATCTAAATTATTAAATCATGAATTGACTTTCTATGATAGAATTTGAATTATTAATAACTTGGCAAACAAATGATCGTCTGTGTTTCAAATATTTAGTACTTGTCTAATTTGCATTTGATAGCAGACATATAGTCTTTGGAATATTGTATAAGTTTACAACAATAGAGCTAAGAAAAAACTATTCAACAAACACAAATATTTTATTAGTGTTATGTACAGTATATATATGATTTGAACACAGTTAGTTTGTCAAAAGAAGTAATTATGAACATTAGTTGTTGCATAATAATACTTTTTCTTTTACAACCAACAGTTTTTTGCAATATTGTACTTTCAACAGTGTGCGATGTTGAAGAAAGTAAAAGAATTCGCATGGGAACGAAAGATATCCAGCAAAATCAATGTATAACTAACGTATATGAAAGATACGTCTGCTACGAAAATGGATATGGTTGCTATGCAACTAAATATGAAGTTCCTGGCTTTATTAAAAAATTGGGTAACTATCATGGTTTTGATCTATCACCTATGATTAACGATCCGGAAGCTGCAGATCCAAAAATTTGTGCTAAATATTGTCTGGAAACGCCTAGTTGTATTGGTTTTGTCGTATCTGAAGTTGTTAATCCAACATTGGGTTGTTTTCTAAAGTCGACTTCTTATAAAATTGCTCAAAGTTTAAATAATTTTCTTACATATGATAGATACGCTTACTCAGATTCTACTTGCGAAGTTGGAAGTTGTATTGTAACGCCACCTCCAACTTCTTTGGGAAATTTTAATTATCAAAGTTGTAAATCAGCCTGCGAATCTGATCCTCTATGTAAACATTTCTCAATTGGAGCTGGAGAATGTTTTTCCTATAATACTTGTCAGAATGACAAAGAGAATATAAATAAAGTTGTTTGTTCACATTCTAAATCAATAATTCCCAAAGAAACAATATATGATCCATCCGTAATTGATATAGTCAATGATTTGAATAATTCAACTTGTGTAGATCTACAATTCAATCCGCTTGCGATTAGATATCCATTCCCAGGAGTTAATAAGCCATTGGCACCTATCCTATTGGAGGTAATAGGAGAGAATCTATCCTGTTCAAGTGGGCAATTATCTAATGTAATGGTGTACATTCCATCATTTCCTCAGTATAAAGTTAATTTTGAAGGAATATTTCAAATTTGCAAATTAATATTCTTCAATAATCAACAATGTAAATACAGTTGTAGTTGTGATAATAGATTTTGTGAGGGTTTATATATTAGAGCCTTCTCTGATAAATCTATCAGTAAGATATGCGAAGTGAAATTTCCTTGATGAACTATAGACTATTTTGCTGTGTGTGCATGTGTGTGTCTGTCTATAGTTCTAATTAAAAAATCAAACTAAAATACTTGAACTATTTATCAATCTTTTGCATTGCACGAATCTAAATCATTTGCAGGACTATTTTATTATTTGAAAATTTTAATAAATTAATTTTACTTCATTTTAAAACTAAAAGTAATATCTTGAAAAGGTTCTTCGCAGCAAGGATAGAATTTTTCATCAAGACGGCCCAATGTTTCAAAAATCTTATATTTGCCATAGTAATAACTCATATCCATATCTTGCAAATTTCCCATAAAGTTTAAGTGCATTTCATATGCATTGTAGGTCCAGGATCCATACTTAAAACGGCAGTGATATATATTAGCTGATTTCTCAAATAAACATCTAACCTATGTGATAATACAAATGAAATTAACAAAAAAACAAAATATTCAAATATCCAAATTACTGTCAATAACTTTGGAGAAATGTATAATACAGTTCCATCTTTGTGGATTACTGATAAGACATTTGCAAGGTCAACTTCTTTACGACCCCTAATAAATAGAAAATTGTTTAGCAAACAATTCTAAGGTGTATTTGTTAGTTACTGATTGTATAATATAACATCAGGAATCCAAATCTTATCAATAGGCAAATGAAAAGTCTCTGAATTATAATCTTCATCCGACCACGATAATCTATGATCTGTCCACATCTAGAATAAAAAAAAAGTTCAATGTTTAGAAAAAGAGATGAATTTTAAAAAAATTACCAGTTTTTCCCAAACGCTAAATGTAATCATATCACCGTCAGTCTTGTCAACACCAACCAAACTGATCCCAAATGAAACGTTAACAAATCCAGAAGGCTTTATAACTTTGTTATAATCATCTAAAAGATGATTATACAGATCATTCCTATTTAGTATTTTTTTTAGATATTATGTATAAAGAAAAATATTGCTAAAGAGAAAAACCAACGTTTCACCATAAACACAGGAGATGATAATGGGAAGGAAAGAAGATAAAAACAGTGTAATCATTTCTAAATTATCCTCCTCTTGTTATCTTTGTTTTAGGGATTAACATCCTCTGCAATATATATACATATTACTCTAGATGCATAATTTTATATTTGCAATATTACAAATAATAAGAGATAAAAATTGTTACATCCGTTCATTCATTAATGATTACAATGATTTCAACAGTTATCCTCTTTGTTTTTTATCATTTTATCTATAATTTAAATAAATTATCTTGATTTTTTTGTCTCATTATTGTTTTAGGTGTGTTACTTTCATTTGGAAGTTGTCGACAGATGGCGCTACTAATTTATTTTTCTCATAAAACAGTTTTCAAAGGAGATTTTTGGCCTGTGTTAAATTGTACTTTGCACTGTTTGAATGTTGAAATTTGTATTTGCAGCATTCCCCCTTTTTTTATTGAAAAAAATATTTCATCTTGACTAGATTCTGAATGTATTGAATATGGTTAAAACAAAATAGGGAAAGAAGTAGCATTCATTCTTAGGATACAATGGTCCAGAATGCAACATCTGAACAGTCACAATTTCTATAGTTTTGACTACTAATAGTATTCTGTTTTACAATGAAATACATTTCCAAGATATTACAATGTACACTGTCCATAAATATTTTCATCAATTAGACATTTTTATCATAGAAGGTATGCATTTAAAGATGCAATAAAGACAGTTTACAATCTGAATTTTGACTTTAAGATTCTTGAAAATCTCTCAGGATAGTTGGAGTCTTTCAGAAAAATTCAATAATTCATTATCCATCGACATGTTATTTTGCAGTTTTATTGTTTTTATGTTGGAGCAATTTTCTAGTAGATTTTCAGCTTCTTTACTTTGTTTTTTATTTAAATAGCAGTCACTTAAATCAAGATGTTTTAGAGTATTTGAAGATTTTTTCAGTCTTTTACAAATCTTCACTAATCCTTTTCCCATCTCTTCATTTTGACTTAGATATATTCCTTCTATTTTGGAACAATGTTTCAGCAGCTTTCCAAGCCTCTTTGCTTGTTTTTCATTCAAATTACAACAACTTAAATCAACATTCTTTAGATTATTTGAAGAGTTTTCAAGACCTTTACAAATATTTAAAAATCCACTTCTCATGACCCAATTATAGCGGAGATTTATTGTTTCAATTTTACAGCAATTTTCTAATAGATTTCTAATTATTCTACATCGTTCCTCATTCAAATAACAGTCAATTAAATCAAGATTTTTCAAGGTATTAGAAGATTTTTGAAGACCTTCACAAATATTCAACAGCCCTTTTCCCATATTTAAAAATTGTTACACCAGTTTCTTAATAGATGTCTAATGTCTTTACTATCTTCTCCACTTAAATATAACAGTCGCTCTAATCGAGATTCTGTAAAGTATTTTGAGGATTTTTTAGAAAGGTTAATATTCCGACGCCATTTTGAAATTCTGTGTCATGTTTTTTTTTTGCACTCTCATTACCTATTTTAGAATATAGTTTGTGTTTATTTCCCTTTTAATGGAATTTTGGATATTTCATTAAAAAAATACTGATTTTTTAAACTTTTTGTATCAAAGAAATTTTTTCCTGTTTTTTAAATTAGAAAGACTTTTGTTTACTTTGGTTGCTTAGAAACGGGGTTTTAGAAAATTTTTCAATGGCTTCTCCAGGTGTTTCTTCTCCAGAAGAATGAGTCTCTGAGGTTGATATATTACCTCAAGTGTATTTCCATTTTCTCCTTTTGTTTTAAAGTTCGTCAGCTGTCAAATTGATGTTTATGTTAAGTTACAGAATGTTAAAAGTCTTATCATCAGGTTGTCTATTTTTCACCCTAACTCTAACCTCTTTCAACGTTTACTTCCATCTTAATACATTTGATCTCGTGCCATATAAGCAACTTGAATGACAGAAAACATAATGAAGGAAACTTTTATCCGGAACTCATTTGGTTTATCGTTCATGCAGGAAGCAGGAAATGAACAAGATAACGCTTTATAGTTTTAATATTCATTCAATTTTTTAAATAAGTATAAAGTGTGGGAGAAAACTAGATTTTATTTTAAATTTACATGTATTGGTGAGATTAGAAGAATAAAAGTACAGATAATGTCAATGGATGAGACAGAAAACATCCGCAAATTACAGCTTTTAACCTAACCCTAACCCAGCACTTGGTTGTCCCTATCCTTTTCCATTATCCCTAATCCTTAGAAGATACCCTCCTAAGTACAAATCAATTAATGTATTCTTCTTTTTAACCATTTTGCCATCCAAAATCTAGTCTTGAATTTTCTCAGTCATTGACATTTTCTGTTGAACCTGAATGTTACTGTAGAATTTTGGATATATACATAATAAAAGAGAATTATAATAACGAAGTGTAGGCTTAGTATTCCCTTCTTTGCCCAGCTTATTCAGAAGGGAAAATGTAACAGTTTTCTTCCTATATTGTCAAATAGGCCTAATATAACCAGAACCATAACGATCCCATTAATCTTCCTGTTAGTGCTTGTCAGGTGTATTTGTTGTTTATAATTCATTTTTGATACAGAAGTATATGAGTATACAGTTTTTCATTCACTGGAAACTTCATAAAGCAAGAAAAATTAACGCAATGTAGAGTGAATGGATAATACCATTCAAAAATTTGGCATTCAATTTACCTTTATGCTGTAAATGTATGAAAACTGTCTAACTGTTGATTAAGTGTTAAAAAATCAAATATACTCAGATTATTCTATACAAATGCATAAAATATATGCTCTACTGTAATTAGTAGTTTCGGAGTATGCTGTTTTGTATTTACAAACATTCATACGTTATTGGTTTATTAAAAATAAAGTATACAGTATGATGAAAAGCCAGCGATATTTTTGAACAGCTAGTTTAAATTCCAGCATGACTGTAACAAATTGAGATAAACCCTGTTTCTTGTCTTTTGTCAGTAACTATGATTTGGTATCCTATAAGTTCCTCACATTCAATTTTGAATACATATTAAACGCATCTTAAGTACAAGTGTATATATTCAAGATTTTCCAACCCAAAACGTTGCCTTCAAAAATCTCATTTGAAAATGCCTTCTGTCAACGAGAGAGCAATAGTTTGATATTTTCTGCCTATAGATGATTTTCTCTATCATCATTTTCTTGAAATCTTTTAGAGATTTTTCTTGTAATCTAAAAGGAGAAGTGATTATTAGAAATGAAATATGTCATTCTATCCCATCCGGGAGCCAGGCTGTTAATACCAGTCTAATACAAAATCTTACCCGAGGATTTAAGACTTATTTATGTGTTTTTCAATATATTTATAAAGGTTTTTACCTTGTAAATAAAAAAGTCTATAAATTCAATGACAGTTAGAACAGAAGCTCCTAACACCAATCCTAAAAATCCGCCAATTTCAGAAAGGAAAGAGAGAAATCCAAATTTTTCATGTTGAGTAATCTTTTGATAAGACATCTCTTGGTAAAAAACATCAACTTTTGCAAAGTTCTTTCTGTTGGTATGAAAAAGGTTTTTATGTCTGTTAATGCATTTTTTTGATGTGAATTTAAAGTATAAAAAACATGGAAAAAATGGTGAAATAACCTGAAAAATTCCTTATTTACTTTGCAAGAACTTTTAAAATTGGACATAAAAAGTTTTAGATCATTATATTTGCTTATTGCATCAGTTAATCTCATAAGATTTATATCTTGAAAGTGAAGACCAAATTCGGCCATTTTGTTTGCAAAAGTATAAAAGCAAGTACTCCAACTACCAATAAGTATTTGTTGTAAATTTTCTTTTGAACAGTTGATATGAAGACCGTATTCGTGTTTTTTATTAATAAGGAATGAATAGAAATCATTCAATTCAATAAATTCAACATTTTGATCATTTTTATCCTTTTTCGGAAAAGGCCAAAGAAAATTATGAGTAGTATTTTCTTCAATTTGTATTAATTTCTTATAGATTTTATTAACATAATCTTCAAATGTCCTATTCTGCAATCCTATTTTATCAAAGAGAAAAATTAAATCTTTCAAACTACTCAGAACATTTTCCAACCAGAGAGAATTTGATAAATTACATTTCTTTGTTGTTGAATTTCTTTGAAAATATGAATTAAATATTTCAATATTATTTAAATTTTGTTGATAAATTTCGTTATGTTTTTGTAAAGATATTTCAAATTCGTAGAAATTTGATGTGAAATTTGTAATTAATGAATTAATATCCTCAAGTGTTGAAGTGATATCTCCAAGTGCATCATTTTTACTTGATAGACAAACAGAATGAAATGTTGGATTATTAATATTTCTTTTAAATTTCCATAATGAATTGATAAAAACTTCAATTTTCTCACCAAAATAAACAAAACTATCATTCTTATTTAGATTATTGAATTGCATTGATTTTGTAGCATTCATTAAATTCTTATAGAATGGTTTACAAATACTTTCAAATGGTAATCTTGTATCGTTTATTCGAGTATTAAATATTCTCTCAGCTTCGTTAATATGCTCTTTTTCATACCTTATCAAATCTGTGAAAACTGATGTTTTAGCCCAAGAATTTTTGGCATCTTTTATAACTTTAATCCAAAACTCTTGAAAATCTTCATAAAATGCTCTATAGTTACCAAATTGAAATTCATTCATAAAGTTATCACAAACTGTAGGTAAACTACCCATATTTTGTATATTTTCTTGACAAACTTTCAATTGTTGCCAAACTGAGTATTCACTTACCCCAATTGTTCCATAAAGTTGATTCCAGAAATGGTTAACAACATTTGCTAAATAGTTGAAAGAAATTGATAATTGTTGAACCTTTGGTGAAAAAAGTGTAGTTTCTACAAGTTGAAAATTTTTTTCCATATTTTGAATATCATTTAAAAGTGCATTTCCAAATTTTATGCCATCAGAATTATTTTTTCCATCTGATGAAAATATTTGGAATGTTCTTTGCAGTGTTTTGAAAATTGGATCCATTTTTGTTGTAAATGCAGTAATCATATTCCTATTTTTCCTAACATTAATATATCTTTCACCCATTTCTAATATTTCCAAATAGTCTGTTTCTAACTTGTCCACTTTCCCTTTGTTTGTATGTAAAACCTTATCAGCTGCAAATTCTGATATTGCGGAAAATGATAGGTTCGGCTCATAAATAATTTGATTACACGGAACTAAACAAGAGCAACGAATGCTCTTCTTTTCGTATTTTACGTGTTCTAACAATTGTCTTACGCAATTAAAATTCTCGGATAGAGTGCAGATTCTTTGGAGATAATCCTTGTTCGGCTCTAGAATTGCAGTAGCTTCGAATGGCATACATTCGCATACGAATGCTACCGCTCTTAGCCGACAATGATCCATACATTCGGCGTGCGATTTGTATTTTGAGTTGACGCAATCTCCGTATGGATCACCAAGACTGTGGGATTCCGTCCGTTTGATTCCAATGAGTGTATGCATTCCAGCCGCAACCGCAAAACCTAAATCGGCCATTAAAGGTTTCTTATAGTCATTGTGAAGAAACATTTTAACTCCGGCATCGTTATCTGGTCCAGGCATATGATCGTACTGTTCAGTGTTGAATAGGAAAGACAGACCATTGTTAACTCCAGGATCGGTAACGGTTAAAGCGTTTGGTGGATCAAGGGAAGATGGAGAATTGAATGTGAAGCATATACCATATTCGGTAATAGTTTTTGTAATATATTCAGATTTGCATAGTTTACCAGCCCAAAAGCACCTAAAGATAAAGTTGGATTGTTTGTGTCCAGTATAATTGTAAACGAAATCCATATCGTAATTTTCTGGTAAATATTCATCGTACGAAGTTGTTTCGTTATTGTCAAAGCTATAAATCTTTGTAAAATATTTATATAAACCCAATTCAATAGCGTTTTTCATCCTTTTTCAATAAGAAAAAAGAAAGAAATTAGATATTTATTACAAGTAATGTCATCTATACAATAGGCAAAGAATTAATGGCAAGCTAGGCCTATTGAAATTACATTTTGCTCACCTGAATTTATTTTGGTTACAAACTGTAACTGATGGAAATTCAAGTTGCTTTGGGTAAATAACTTCAACTTTTACTGTTACATCTCTACTTCCGAAATCTATTCCTCTTCTTATCACTTGAAAACAGAAAAAAAAAATTGCACCGGAAACGATTAACATCCAACCAATTCGTCTAAACGGCGATATTCCCCTGGCAAATGCGTTCTTTATACCGTGAAGTGACGTTTCTGTAGAGAAATCTTGCCATGTTTTTTCGTCTCCAATTACTAAAACAGTATTTGGTTGTTTTATCGATTTGGTCCTCTCCAACTCCATAATATCTCCTCTTTTTTTTGTTATTAAATATTCAAATTAGGGCATATAGGCTGAAATTCAAGATTTGCAGGTAAGTTGTTGTAAAAGATTTCTATTTTTGATATTCTATATGACAAAATTATCCTTACACATGAACAATTCATTTCTGTTCTATATATCAAAATGATAAATCAATTTTATAACTGGTAATTCTTTTTTAATACTTTGAAAACTGGTAATAGTTTAAAGGGTGTTATATGCATGCAATATGAAGAGAAGGGTTACGCCTATTTTATAGGAGAGAGAGAGAGAGAGAGGGAGAGGGAGGGAGGGAGAATAAGGAGATTCTATAGCATTTTATTTTGATCATTTCAATAATAGATAATAAAAAAAAGTTACGCTTTACTCCCTCTTGAAGATTTATTGGCAGTATAGTCAATGAACTAATTTGCCGATGCAATAACCATGAAAACTGGTATAGATTTATAGTTATCTATAAATCTCTATAGTAAACAGTTGCACACTTTTATAATTAATTGATAAATAATCATTTAAAAATCAATTAACTAATTAATTCGCTTAATAAACTAATAAATGAGATAAATAATAACGAATAGCTTATCTAAAGCTTATCAACTCGATATATTGGGATTATCGTATCGATTGACTAGTTTTTTGATTATCATAGATTTAAGCTTTCTTATTCGTAAATAATTGGCATGAAGGATTAGGGGAGAAAATTGCATTAGCGTTGTTATCTTCTTATTCATTCATTGCAGCTTATATTCTTGGAGGAGAGTTTAAATGAAATTAGAAGAGGCGGGGCGGGGGTGGAAGGATGAGGAGAAAGGGGTGGAACGGTTTAAAAGGCTTTTGCATTGCTCAAGCTTAATGCGAAATATGATGGGAAATCAAATACATTCCAAAATAAAATTTACCAATTCCACTGGAGGATAGACTGTTACAAGACTTATGGGGAAATTTCTATCTATTTAGCAGATATTCTTCTTCCTAGGAGACTAATTTTGTATCTTTTAGAAAATCTTAAAAAATATGTATTTTTTTTATATATATGCTAATTAGCATCTAACCTCCGCACTAAATAACCGATTTATTCAACACTTAAAATCCATTAAAAATTTATATTTTAATGGATAATGCTTTTTTTTTTAAATATAATTAGCAACGTTTCCAACTTATATATATATATATATATAATCGATGCGAAATTTTCAGATTTACAACGAAAATGATTCCAAAATAAAATATACGGTGTCCATAGTAAAGGTTGTACCACACATATCCAGGTGGATTTGTTTTCAAGTTGGATAAACATACTTTCTCATTTACTGTCATAAAATATTTGGAGTCCAACATTTAAAGTTCTCTTTCTTTAACGAAATTTTTTTCCTAAACTGTTCCCATAAATGACACAGTGTCCCGAACCGTAAAAAAAACAATTAGTAATCAAGTGATAGTTGATTAATTATAAAATTAGGTTAAACACTAAATTACCTGATGTATACTTAATGAATCAATAAATTACCCTAATGATAATAATTGGTGTAGGGGAAAGAAACTGGTATTAGCATAAGGTTGAAAAGAAACCTTGTTTTCTAAAAGACAGATTTGCTTAAACTTTTTGATAACGACCATAACAAAGATCACATCAGACTATGATCAGCTGTGTAAGCATAGTCATGGGACAGCAACACCAAATACTAAAATAATAAATTATGTTTTGGACTACTAAAGATCAATGACCAAAAAGTCTCTATTAACTATAAATAACCCAACTAGTTAAGGGGCAATTTCTTTTGTGAAATTCAGGACAAAATATTTGCAATCTATACCCTGAAAACAGGCAGAACAATTGGGAATAAAGAGCAAATTAATTGAATATTTTCCTCCTTTTCAATTTGAAAAAACTAATAACATTTCACTAAAAAGAAGCTAAAAATAGATTACAAAAATAAAGAACAGTTTATACCATTTGAACAATGTTTCAGTAGTTTCTCTATAAAAACATATTAGCAGGAGAATGTGCAGGAAAGCGAGTGTTCTTCTACACAATAAAAATAAAATATTCAAACTATGAATTTATTTAGGAATAAAAGAGTTAAAAGTGGATTTTCAACAATTTTTGTTAATCTTGTTCCTTCTACAAATGTTCTAAAAAATATTACACTTAAACAATGTGAATATGGGGAAGAAGAATCTAGAAATATTGGAAATTTATTGGAAATTTGTTGTAATATAGAATCAATAAATTTAGAAGAAAATAAGAATATTGACAGAGGATTTGCTAATATTTGTAAACTTAATCATCAAATACTTTAAAGTATATTAATACAGCAAATTGTCATCTTGATGGAGAACAATGTAAAGAAATGAGATAATTCTTAAAAACCTGTTCAAACATTGAAATAATTGAGTTAATGGCAATGAAAATATAAGAAATGGATTTGAAAAGATTTGTAGTGGAAAATGATTGTCGAACGTTGATTTTTTCATCATGGTATTTGAATGAAAAGGAAAAATCAATAAATTTTGTATATTTCATAATGTAACAAAGATTTTCAAACCAATATTTTACATTAGCAATTATTTTGGTTTAATACAAGGGGGGAGAGTGACTTCTGCCGCAGCTTTGGTTGATTTCTACTCAGAGGGTCATCTATTTCGTAATCGCTAAAGTTCATAAGTTCAACTGTGAAGCATTATAAAAATTTTCCTTAATAAAAATATCCTCTTTAAAAGAATCCATATACCATCTGTTTATTCTGATTAGGTTATGTTTCTCTTCTTTTCCTTTTTTTTACTCTATAGAAAAGAATTTTTGAAATTCCACAAGTTTTTATTGAATATTGAAATAGGTCTTTTTCAGCAGCATTTCATGGTCTAAACAAGCCAAACATTTAATGATATATTCTTTGATTTCTACAATATTTAATGGGGTATAAGAGCAAAGAATATACTGGTTTCAAGGAAATTTTTTATTTAAAAGCAATAAGGTTATAAAATTTTTCATTCAGATTGTTTAAAAATTGAATGTAAAACTAATAAACTTTAATAATTGAACATTTCCAAAAAATAACAAAATAGCACATTCTGAACATAATAAGAAAGTAATGAAATTTGTATCCATTTTGGAAAATTCATTGCTATAGATCTGAAAATAAATCTCAAGTGTCCAAAATTTTTTGTTTAAATATATG